TTCACTGTTGATTTTTGGAGATCAGCAGAACTCCTAGTCCGCTCCATATCGTATTGAATAGTATATGTCTGGAGAAAGTTAAAGAATTTAAATATCTAGGAAGCATATTCTTGGACGGCGGAAGAATAGATCGAGAAATTGAAACAAGATGCCAACGAGCCAGTACACTTATATACCAACTGACAATGTTATTAAGACATCCAAGCATAAGCATAAGCGCCAAGAAATATATTATAGACAGCATATTCATACCAACACTGTGCTACCAGTGCCAGACCTGGACATTATCAAAGGCTTATGTAAAATTACCACTTGCGAAAATAAGATGCCTGAGAAAAGCTGCCAACTTACCCATCTGAGACAATGTTAGAAATGATATTATCAGACAGAGTGTAGGAACAACATAATGCAGCAAATCCAGGCTCTGCACAAGAAAGGATCTGAAGTGAAAGAAAGAGGCCGTCCTAGGAGACATAGACTGATGACATTAAAGAGTTTCTACATCGACACCGAATGACAGTAGCCATCAAGCAATGGATCGCAAACTGCTAATCCCCACCACGTTTAACGGCAGAAGTGTGTAATGAATTTATGGAGATATATTTTCAAAAAAATCGAGTGATTGAGTAAGATCATTAGGAAGAAAAAGAAGAAGAAGAAAATGGTTATAATGATGATCATGATGATAAGGACGAGAAAGGAGGAGAGGGAAGAAGAAGAGAAGGAGGATGGGAATAATATTAATATTAAAATGAGAGTGAGTTTAACAACAACAAAAATGAGAAAAATGATATTTAAAGATAACAATAAACGGCGAATGAAACCGAAGACGAATCACAGTTAGACTTTGGTCACCTACCTTAAAGACATCGTTGTCTGAGGGTTTCACAGATTTCGATGACTTGAGAAAAAAATAAAATGAGAAACAAAATCAATACATGGCCTCATTTACTCTATTATGACAACAGCAACAACAACAACAATTACTACTACTACTGCTGCTGCTGCTGCTAATACTACTACTACTACTACTACTACTACTACTCTACTACTACTATACTACTACTACTGCTACTACCACCACCACCACTACTCCTCCTGCTGCTACTGCTGCTGCTGCTATGGTTATTATTACCAAAATCACAAGCTCTTACAACCACCAGATTATTTCAACCACAAATACTGCTAACAGCAAATGCTACGACTGTACTTCTACTACTACAACTGCTACTGTTGCTATTAATACTGCTGTTATTACTATAACTCTATATCTCCAGTACAGCTATCAACAGCCACCACCATTACTAGTATGACAATTACTGGTAACGCTAATAGCACTAACAATCTATACTGAATTAAATACTAACTGCTGTTGATATTATTATCACCAGTATAAACGTTACCTTTTCTTCTTCTTCTTGTTCCTCTTGTTCTTTTTGTTGTTGTTGTTGTTGTTCTTCTTCTTCTTTTTCTTCTTCTTCTTCTTCTTCTTCTTCTTCTTCTTCTTCTTTCTTCTTCTTCTTCTTCTTCTTCTTCTTCTTCTTCTTCTTCTTTCTTCTTCTTCTTCTTCTTCTTCTTCTCTTCCTTCTCTTCTTCGTCTTCTTGCTTCTTCTTCTTCTTCTTCTTACCGCTTCTTCTTCTTCACTCATCTTCTTCTTCTTCTTCTCTTCTTCTTCTGCTCTTCTTCTTCTTCTTCTTCTTCTTCTTTCTTCCTTCTTCTTCTTGTTCTTCTTCTTATTGTTCTTCTAATTTTTTCTTCTTCTTCCTCCTCCTCTACTTCTTCATCTGCTTTATTCACCAGCTATAAGCTCCTGCAGAAAGTCCAGGTTGTTCGTCCATTTGCACTTTAGCTTTGTGCCAGGGCAGTTGGTTGTTCCTTGCCGCTCATGCAGATGCATCCCGACTTCGAAGAAAGCTTCCAATTAGTCGACTGCTGAGACATGCATGTTCGGGAAGCAGTGGGTCTGCTATTTTCCCCGCAATGAGGCCCCCAGAACCCACACGCAGAACACACGTCACCAGCCACCACCATTACTACTATCCCAAATACTGTTAACACTGACAACAACAACTGTAACTTCAACAACAAGCTATCTACCCTAATGGTCCGATCCACCGACTTGTGACGAGGAAGCCCGCAACGAGTGCCACGGCGACAGAAACAGCAACACACCTCTCGCTTGACCCACATCAGCAGGTAGTAGATGGACTTAGGGCTGATGATCATGTTGAATGGAGCAGGCAGGGTGGACCCCTCGTCAAAGTAGCCCATCCATAGCTTGGAGCGGGCGAACTTCCATTCCATGTCCGCGTGGTTCTAACAACAAATAATGTCTTTAAAATAATATCACTATAGAAATAAACTCACAGGGAGCAAGTACAGCAGGGATCTACCAGTCATCAGTAGAAGTTATCCTCGTCGAGAAACGTTTCGGCCCACGATCTCCTAGACGTTTCCAGAGGTGGGCCCACCTGAGTTCATGAAGCTCAGGGCTGCACGAAATTACCGGATGGTGTTTTTCTTTGGGATAGGGACAAGACGACTTGGTGGTTTTGCAGAAGGTACTGTGAGATAAGAAGCCGCCGCGGTAGCCTAATTAGAACAGTCAGCATACCTGGACGACCGAGCGACAAGCTTACGATTGGTTTACCGGACACATGTTGGACTTTTATTAGCAGGTGGCAGAGGAACACTGGCAGACAATTCGGACACGATGGACTTTCAAGGGATGAAAAACTCTTTTCCGCTAGGCACCCAGACCAGCTCACCGAGGCCCGTCCCCTACGTTGTTTCGTTGCGTCCAAAGCCAGCTCGAGGCCCTCTCGGCTACCTTGCCCAGTTTTTTAAGTGTTCGTTTCGGCGCAATCCTAGTTCTTTAATCACATTGTACAGTGAAGTGGAGACGAGACCTCTATCTCCCACTTCGAAGGCAAAGACAAGTACCGTGTACGCCTCGTCTCTCCTCAGACCGGCTGCTAAATCACCGTATTTTTCGAGCTTGTACGTGTGATTTTCGTCCAAACGCGACTCATACGGGACGGTCAGCTCAATCAGGATGAGCTGCCGTTTCTCCGCAGAGTGGAGAACTATGTCAGGTCGCAGGCCGGTCTTCCGGATTAATTCGGGGTACCTTTCATGGCCCGGCAGATCAACCGCCAGTAACCAGTCCCTCGCAGAGTCTAGCGCAGATGGAGCGAATGCGTCTCGGTTGACCTTACCTTTTTGAATCTGCCCAGCTTTGAGGAAACGAATGGGGACGATGGTAGAACTGGCTCTAGCGTTAGCCCTCATTCTAGCCTGGTCAACAACGGCTGCTAACTCTTTTAGCACCTTGTTGTGTCTCCAGGTATTATCGGCCTGGACCTAGGCGTTTCCTGCACGCGGACAGGACGTGTTCAAGCGTCTACTTCGCTTTACACAACGGGCAAGTCGGATCGTTAGTCGCAGATTACTTAACAATGTTAACCGGACGGTAACACATTCGTACGCCGAACGAAACGATAAAGCTCAGTCGCAACGTGGGCATAATCTCACCCCATGTGGGTATTCTTGCAATGCGCTTCTCCAGGCTGACAGCAATGGCCTGCTGTGCGACTGCTGGCCGCTTTCTGGAAACGAAACCTCGTTTTTCGTTGTCCCTCACCTGTTGTATTACCATGTCTCGGCGTTCTTTGGCTGAGGCCTTTGACCACCAATTGACCTTCCCCTGCCCTAGGCCTCGACGGTCGGTTGAGTGTATCCCATTATCTCCTTCAATTCTAGTGCGTTCTGCGCAGATTCAATCGCATCGAGGACTCTCCACTTCTTCCCAGTCTTGAGAGCGGGCTGGACAGCGATGACATTTGGGTCTGAAGACTCGCGCAAGAGTATGGCGAGTCTTACTTTGCCAACTTTAAACTCTTCGGTTATTGATTTGAACGGGAGTACTATCTTAGCCTGCTTGCAATACAGCGCCACGTGGGTCAGACAAGGAGGTGCACCAATCCACTTTCTTAAGGCTGTGTTGATTTTCCTCTCCATGGTTTCCACTGCAGTCATCGTCACCTCGTAGACTAACAGTGGCCAGAAGAGCTTCGGAATCAACATGAATTGGAGACACCATACCTTGAACTTCCCGACCAGCCTGCAACGCTCGATCGCGAGCAGGCCTGTAGCCAGTGACTCGTGTATTCGCCAGACCTCCACTCTATCAGATAATATCACTGTGTGCATCATGATGTGAAATTCAAGTAGTACTCTAATACCAGCATTTCGCACGGCTTTCTAGCGTAGTTGGCTAAACGGTACTTCGCTGTGACCGGGTGACGAACTCCTTGTGGTCCGGGTTCACTCACGGGGGTAGGCAAAAAAGCCACATTTTCTCCCAGATTTACGGTACCTATCATAGAATCAAGGCTGAGGGGTTGCGATACCATAGTACCGAGCCTAAAGGTTAACAACTCATGTGTTCTGGATATTGAAAAAAAACAGCCTTTCGCAGTACAGTTTCCGCCAAGATAATTAGAATTCCTCTTCTGCCTTCTATCCATTTTGAGGCATAAGATCGACCCCCTGCCCCCTTTTTCCATCAACTCTTGCCAGACTATTTTATGTCGCTTTTGTGTGCAGCTCTCCAGCTGCCCTCCCCCATCACTTTAACTTTACTAGCTAGCTCCCTTCTCCTGTGGTCTGCCTTTATTTCTATGCCCTTGTGGACCAATGTAAAGACTTTATAGTTAGCGTATGCTCTATCAAACTCCAGTATCTTTTCCTTCTATTCTGCGCAGGGGCCAGTTAATGAATGTTTGTAGTTGATTAGTAATTGTTTTAGCAGTTCTCCCTTGTTTCCGATCCAATAGTTCTGATTAGACATTAGAATTAAACATTTTAAGTTTAGTTTTAGCATAGTGATGTGAAATTCGAGTAGTACTCTTTCATACCAAGCTGGCCTCTGAGTTATCAAGCGCCACGAAGGATTGGGCACAATAGCTGAGGGCATGGTGCCAGGAAGGAGGGGCAAGAGGCCAACCAACACGAAGATGGGTATAGGATATAGGTGACTTGTTGAGTATGAAAGTACATGAGGCGGGAGAACTGGCGAGAGGCCGAGTTTGTTTCATGCAGACCGTGATGAGAGCAACGTTCTGCAAAGGACCTGCTACATGTTGACGATGACTCTTTCGTACCATGTTGGCCTCTGAGTTAGGGAGAGAAAAGGCGATATCCCCAGTTGAGTTCCCCATATCCAGGAAACTTTTACATCAACAGCACTCTGAAAGTTGCTTGAAACCAAGTTAGATATTTGAATGACCTAGCCTCATGAATGAGGTGTGACAAAAGAACATTGAGCTGATTCGTGATACTGGTGATCGTGTGAGATGGGGAATCATGACAGCCTACTCCTACAGGCACGGCACGTGATGGTGGCTTTAAAGCACGGGTGCGCAGTCCATGAGTCGCGACCCCAAATATGAGAACAGACCCACTGCACCTCTAACTAAGCATGTCGTAACAGCCGACTAATTAGAGATGTTTTCTTCAAAGTTGAAGTGCATCTGTCTGAGAAGCGAGAAATTCGCAGTTAAAAAAAAAAGCCAGGTCTGTAAAACGGATGTGCACGCAAAACTGGAACAAGACTAAAGCCCCAAAGTAGATGAACAAGCAAAACGCCCCCCTCCTTTTCCCCCCCTTCCTTCCCCCTTAGTTTGCAGCAAACCGTCTTGCGTTGGTTTCGACAGTGGTAAAGCAATGACAAACTACTGAGCGTAAATTTGCCTAGAAAAACCACAATAGCTCAAACATGCTGGGGCTGCTTCTGAAACGTCATGCAAAGGACACGCAACTAACTAGATAACGACTGGCAAGATTCGAGGAAAGAAAACAAAGTAAAAGAAAAAGGACCTTTTGCCCCGCTTTCAGGCGTATAGGGCATACAGAGCGATACCTTTATTTTTACAGACCAATCGGCACTTTCCGGGACTGCACCCGGTACCCACTCAATGGTGGGTCGACCTGGGAGCCAAAGTCATTAAAAAAAAATGTCTGGTTCCGCCAAGGAGCGAACCCACGACCTGCCAATCCGCAGGCGAGCGTCTAGCCGATACGCCACGGCGACTCCTTGGAAAGAGAACAAAGGTAAAGCAAAAAGATAGCCGGATAGCTTATCCTTGGGGATAAAGGAGGGAAAGGGGCGAGACAAGAACAATGAACTGAGGCATGATTCTGGTGCTCGAATGAGGTTTCGAACAATGACAGCCGATGCTTATCGGCACATCACATAATGATGATGATGATGATGATAATGATGATTCTTATGATGATGATAATGGTGAATGATGAAGACGACGATGATGATGATAATGGTGAATGATGAAGACAACGATGAAGGATGATGATGATAATCATGACGACGACGATGTTAATGGTGATAATGATGACGACGATGATTATAATGATGATGATGACGATAGTGATGATAATGATGATGATAATGACGACGAAGATATTGATTACGACGACGACGACGATGATGATGAGTCAACAATAATACAATACACAAAAGCGGTGGTCACCTCGATGTCCTGGAAAGAGCTGGACATCATGGCGATCAGCATGTTGAGGAGGACGATGATGGCCATGGCGTGGTAGACCATGAAGAGGATCTCGCCAACAGTCTGGGTGAAGCTCTGGGTGCTGTGGATCTCCAGCTTGTTGGGAGACATCAGGCTAAACATGGACCAGAACAGCGTCACATAGCTGGAGAACAGCCTGGGGATAAAGGGGAGTTTGGTCTCTATTAGAGTTTTTTTTTTTTTTTTTTAGAGTGGCAGTTTCCTATTTTAGAGTGGCTGTTCCCTGTTTTAGGGTGGCTTTTACCTATTTTAGAGTGAATGATTTCTATTTTTACAGTGTCTGCGACCTTTTCAAAGCGTCTGTTACCAATTTTGAAGTGTCTGTTACATAGTTGAGAGCGTATGTTAACTTTTTTTTTAGTGTGTCTGCATTTTAGAGTTCTTTTACCTTTTTAGAGTGTATATTAACTATTTTTGTTCTGTTACCTAGTTTAGAATTTCTGTTATCTATTTTAGTATCTCTTTTAAATTTTTTAAAGTGCAGTTATCTATTTTCTGTCTACTACTATTAGCACTATGATTACAACCACGCTGTCCACGCCCCTACCACAACTAACTACTACTGCTACTACTACTGCTACTACTACTACTAATGCTGCTACTACTGCATCAGCTGCTGCTACTACTACTACAGCTGCTGCTGCTACTGTTACTACTTTATTATTATTATATTACTATTTCTTCAACTGATGTAGTTACTTCTACTATTGTTTTTTAGACCACCACTCCAACTTAGGCTGCAGCTGTAACAACTGCTTTACCGCCTCCTTCCTCCTCCTATTCCTCCTCCTAATAATAATGATAATAATAATAATATTAATCATAACAATATTATTGATGATTCTACTACAAGTGCTACTATTGTTACTGCTATCACCACCATCATCACTACTCCTGCTACCACCACAACTACTACTACTGCTACCACCACAACTACTACTACTGCTCCTACTGCTGTTATTTTGTTATTATTTTTTATTATTATTACCATCTTTATGTTTATTATCTAACTACTTGAAAGTCATAAATGCACCACAGAACAACGTACGTAAAGAACAGATCTTCGTCGTTGGGGTCAGCTTCGCTGTAATACCAGTAGAGCTGGTTCATTCCACACGCGAAGGAGGAAACCACCAGGAAAAAGATAAAGAGGAACTTGGCAATGTCGATGAGCATACAACCCAGCGAGATCTGCAGGGGTCCAAGATGTTGGTTGGCCTGTGGAGAGGAGATTCAGCGCATCGTTTACTGGATTAGAGGGGGCCAAATTAACCATTAAGCACACTAGGCACGTGCTCAGAGCAAGACAAAAGGATGCACTACACAAATGTTAAATAGCCATGGAGTTTATTTTCTCGGCTGATTCGGGCATGGAGGGAGATACAAGGTTATGCTGTCTCTTTACATTTCACTGTATTTTCTGCAGTAAAAATAAATCTACTGTTGGCTTACTAGGCTTGTCGCAACTTAACCAGATTAAAGTGAAGTGAAGATGGTGGAATAAAGTAAAGGACCCTTGTCATGTGAGTGGCACATCGGCATATAATGATATCTTCTTCTTCTTCTTCTGCTGCTGCTGCTGCTGCTGCTGCTGCTGCTGCTGCTGCTTCTTCTTCTTCTTTTTCTTCTTCTTCTTCTTCTTCTTCTTCTTCTTCTTCTTCTTCTTCTTCTTCTTCTTCTTCTTCTTCTTCTTCTTCTTCTTCTTCTTCTTCTTCTTCTTCTTCTTCTTCTTCTTCTTCTTCTAATTTTCTCCGCCTCCGCCTCTTTCTTCTTCTTCCTCTTTGTAAACTTTCTGTAAGTTGCTGTGAACAGTCCATGATTTTTGTCCTTTTGGACTTTGGCTTTGTGACAGGCCCTAAGTTTTGCATGCACATCCGTTTTACTGGTTTACTTGTGTGCAGCTGGTTGTTCCTTGCCGCTCGGGCATATGCGCTTGAACTTTGAAGGAAGCTCCCAATTAGTCGTTTTTCACCACATGCTTTTCTGGGTAGGCAGTGTGTCTATTCTTGTTGTGCACACAATGAGCACCCAGAAGTCAAACGGGACAATATAATTTAGACATAATTTAGAAACGGTCTTATTCCCACATTCTCTCTAATGCTGGCATCCGCAACCCTGACCCTTTTTGTGTTGTTTGTGGGCTTCAATACGGAGGCAGTGCATTTCACATGTAGTTATTTTCCGTTCTAGTGCCATATTTATTGTGTATGTTTGGTCCTGCTAACAGAGATGCAGTTGCTATTATTCTTGTGCTGTTTTTCTGGAAGGGAGACATTTGGGTGTCTAAGCATACTTACAGTTTTACAGACCCTCGATGGCGGATGTGATCAACATAACGCTGGCTGTCTTTACTTCTCAAGACAATACCTAGTATCCACTTTAGGCTACCTCGACATGAAAGCTAAGGTCAATTTGAAATACAATCGACGATGGCGATTTGAACGCTAAAAAAAAAACTTCAAGCCGACAACGCGAGTGTCTAGTCACTATACCAACTCGGCTCCTGTTTGCTGGATTACACATGCAGTAGAAACTTCATGAAGGAGAGAGCACAACAGGAGCCTTTCGATCACCAGAAGGGGTCCCAATTTTCAGAATGTTTCAACCCTTTTACCTTCCTTACACCCTCTATGGACCTGCCAGCCTAGGTGGTGACTCTCGGGTTTCGTTCTCCTGTTGGGTGGCTGAATCTTGCCAGTAATAAAGAACACACAGGGTTTACCACTGATCATACAGGCCTCATCCCGATTGTCAGTTGCTAATTACACTAATACTATTAGTTGTTGTTGTAGAAGTAATGGTTGTGGTTGTGGCGGTGATGGTAGCGGTGTTGATGTCGGTGGTATTGGTGGTGGTGGTAGTAGTAGAAGCAATAGAAGTAGTGGCAGCAGTAGCAGCAGGAGTAGCAGTAGCCGTAGTAGTAGCAGCAGCAGGAGCAACATTATTAGCAGCAACAGCAGTAGTAATACGTAATAGTAGCAGCATCAGCAGCAACAGCAAAAGTAGTTCTAGTAACAATAGCAGTGGTGGTGGTAGTTGCAGCGTCAGTAGATGAAATAGTAGTAATAGTAGTAGCACCAGCATCATCAAAAACGTAAACAAACCTGAAAAAGATAGATGATTCTAGCGAAGCTGAAGACGTTGGCTATGGCAAAGAGTCCCTCAGAGATGATAGTCGGGTCATTCTCCGGCCAGTCCACGCGCAGCATGACCCGGTCCCCGTACCTACCGGACTCAATCTGTGAGAGACAAAGGTGCCATAGTCAGGCTTCTGGACGTCTTCTGCTTCTCCCACCCATTCTTTTTCTGATTCCTAATTTCGCTTTCTGTTTCTGTCACCAGGGTGCGGGGGCGGAGGGGGGAGGGGAAGGGCGCGTGGTGTAGCGGCTAGACGGTCGCCTGCGGATCGGACGGTTGTGGGTTCGGATACTGACGGAGCTGGGCTGTTTTTCAAAAATGATCTTAGCTCCCAGTGGATTGAGGTAAATTCCTTGGAAGAGTGTGTGTGAGTAGGTATGAGCGATATGTGAGCGTCTGTGTGTTTTTATATACGCATGCGTGTTTAAAACAATTTATTTATGTGTACACAGTTGTGCTGTATATGAATGTGTGTATATCTTACATACATGCTATGTATTTTTTCTATAAGAAAATTACATGCTATGTAGATAAAATACAATTTATGTATGAAGTTTGTTTCTAGAAGCCCCGAGTGTAAGGCGGGACAGCGTGCCTAAATTGCGACCCTTGAAGACAAAAAAGGCTCGTTCGTTCCTATACTATGGGTGTCTTTGAGTTTGGGGATTTAGGGCTGGTGCAGTCACCAAGGATGGGACATATTGGGATTTTAGTTTTGCCCCGACAGAAAAACCCTCACAACATAACCTTACAGACAAGTCAACCCTGGGTGTCCCGTATAGGAGCAAAGCGTTCTTAACCATTCGGGGATCCGTTATCGCCATCACCACTGTTAAATCATCTACACCACACAGCTACTACTACTACTACTACTACTACTACTACTACTACTACTACTACTACTACTACTACTACTACTACTACTACTACTACTACTACTACTACTACTACTACTACTACTACTACTACTACTACTACTACCACTACTACTACTAATTTCCTTTACTACTACAAAAGCAGAAACAAGAAAAATAACAACAACAATAACAACAACAAAAACACCAACTTCTACTACTGCTGTTGCTGCTGCTGATGCTGCTGCTGCTGCTGCTACTACCACTTTTATTCAAACAAATACTTATGTTCCTGCATTTACTACTACTACTTGTGTCGTTTCTGCAACTACTAGCTATACCTATCTTCCCAACGAGAGACTGAATAAATAAACAAGGATCTTCACCTGGATGTAAGCCACAATCCTTAGAGAAAAAGTGGCCAGGTAAAGAGACAGCATAATGAAGTCAAGCCAATTCCACCACTGGCGAATGTAAGCCTTCAGTCCTTCATCCCACAGTTGTTTGCACTCAGCCCACACAAAACCTAACAGACAGGATAACATTCAGCTCAATTTCATAAACAGGAACTTAAAAACAAAAAGTTCAACAACACAATTTGATTTTAGTCAATATTGACAAGAACATACACAATCCAGGCTTTATGATTTATTGATAATGTAATTTCCTTGATTACATAATGTGTTTTTTGTGTTTATCATAGTGAACGGAGTGGAAAAAATATTTAATTCTCTCTCTCTCCCACCAACTGTGTGTGTGTGTGTGAGAGAGAGAAAGAGAGAGATAGAGAGAGATAGAGAGAGAGTTATAAATATGTTTGTATGTATTTAGGCCTCAGATCTGAGGTTTAAGCGAAGAATCCTTAAAATTTCTTGAAAGCCAAGAAGAACAAACCAGATGTTTTGAAGAAGGTGTGGGCACGAAGACAAGCATCAGAAAGAAACAGTCACCCATTTGTGGTCATGTTATGAGAAGAAGAAAACTATAACATGCTGTGAGAGAGGAAGACTGAGCAGAAGATTCTCGACAGCCTTTATGTCATGGCTTGGACGGGTGACCAGACATGTTGTTGAGGATCGCAAATTGCCGAGAGGCATGATCGTCAACAGCAATTGGCAAGACACTTACTAACTCGTTTGCTTACTCACTCATTCATTGCTAATTCAAACATGACACATCATCGTCACTCCTTTTCTAAAGAACAACAGCAAAAAGAATTTATAAACAACATTTTGATATATATATAGTAGAAAGTACAACCAAAGTGGGCTGACATTTAAAAAATGGTTATGTCAGTACTAAGTCCATATAAATCGTGTTTCGAATTTAAAAAAAAAACCCCGATAAACTTGTTTAACTCACACGAGAATGTATCCATGCAATTCTGATCCACTCAAGAAACCCAGCTCTAACCCACACGATGACCATTAGCTCTAACTTGGACCCATCACAACAAACCAACTCCCAACCCACATAACGTTAAGTAATTTCAACTTTAGGCTTAACCACAAACTCAGTTTTAATCTACGTAACGTTCAATAATTCCACCTTTGGTTTAAACCACAAACCAGCTCCTAACACACATAAAGTTCAATAATACCAACTCTAGCCTATGCAAAAAACCCACTTCTAACACACATGACGTTCATTAATTCCAACTCTGGTCTACGAAAAAAAAAATAATAATAATAATAACACTCCTAACCCAAGTAACGTTCAATAATTCCAACTCTGGCCTACACAACAAACCAACTTTTCACCCACATGCCGCTCAGTAATTCCAACTCTGGCCTACACAACAAACCAACTTTTCACCCACATGCCGCTCAGTAATTCCAGCTCTGGCCTACACAACAAACCAACTTTTCACCCACATGCCGCTCAGTAATTCCAACTCTGGCCTACACAACAAACCAACTTTTCACCCACATGCCGCTCAGTAATTCCAACTCTGGCCTACACAACAAACCAACTTTTCACCCACATGCCGCTCAGTAATTCCAACTCTGGCCTACACAACAAACCAACTTTTCACCCACATGCCGCTCAGTAATTCCAACTCTGGCCTACACAACAAACCAACTTTTCACCCACATGCCGCTCAGTAATTCCAACTCTGGCCTACACAACAAACCAACTTTTTACCCACATGCCGCTCAGTAATTCCAACTCTGGCCTACACAACAAACCAACTTTTCACCCACATGCCGCTCAGTAATTCCAACTCTGGCCTACACAACAAACCAACTTTTCACCCACATGCCGCTCAGTAATTCCAACTCTGGCCTACACAACAAACCAACTTTTCACCCACATGCCGCTCAGTAATTCCAACTCTGGCCTACACAACAAACCAACTTTTCACCCACATGCCGCTCAGTAATTCCAACTCTGGCCTACACAACAAACCAACTTTTCACCCACATGCCGCTCAGTAATTTCAACTCTGGCCTACACAACAAACCAACTTTTCACCCACATGCCGCTTTAGTAATTCCAACTCTGGCCTACACAACAAACCAACTTTTCACCCACATGCCGCTCAGTAATTCCAACTCTGGCCTACACAAAAAACCAACTTTTCACCCACATGCCGCTCAGTAATTCCAACTCTGGCCTACACAACAAACCAACTTTTCACCCACATGCCGCTCAGTAATTCCAACTCTGGCCTACACAACAAACCAACTTTTCACCCACATGCCGCTCAGTAATTCCAACTCTGGCCTACACAACAAATCTACTCCTAACCCAGTCAACGAGCCTCCACAATAGATTTGAGCCAACACAACATACTTTTAACAAAATCGATTAGCCCGGCTCTCTACCGTAGTTGGCTAAACCGGATTGCGCTGTGACCGGATGACGAACTCCTTGTGGTCCGGGTTCACTTCCGGGGGTAGGCAGAAAAGTCACATTTCTCCCAGATTTACGGTATTTACAATGGAATCAAGGCCGAAAAGTTGCGATATCCATAATACCGAGCCTAAGGGTTAAACTTCTAGATACTAAAACAAACAACAAACAACAAAATCGATGATCACCCTCTCAAAAAAAATGACCCAACACAACAAACTCACTCATAACCTATAAGACAGAAAGTCATCAAATGATCATTTACTTCAAATCTGACATCACCCAACAAACCGAATTCTAACCTATCAGACAGCAAACTAAACAGTAAACTCCCCCCCCCCACCCCTCCCCCACCCCCACCACACACCACCATCTGCTTAAACTCTGACCCTATACAATAAATCCACTCTGAACCTCACACATAAAACACCCACCAGTGACCCAAAGAACGATCATCCACTCCAGCTCGGACGGCTCCGGACCTCTGAACTTCTGACGCTTTGGTTTGTTGTTTGTGACATCCGTGGAGGCACACACCAGGAGAAACAGGAACACCCCAAAACTAGCGCTGCGGAGAAGAGCAGACATCTACAGTTCGCCTCTGACATCAGTGGCAAGATGTGACCAATTCGCAAGTGTAAGCTTTAGCAAGTCATGTTTACAATAGAATGTGTATCATGTGATAGCTTGCTCCCCATCGCTTCGCTTTTGAGAGTATTCGTGCACAACTAGCACTGTAGCACTAGTGACTGGTAGCTGTCACGCGGTAATTTTCCAAATGAATTGTTCAAGCATGTATACAGCTGTCTTATCGCTATGTTACAGGCCTAAACTAAGTGGTGTATTTGTAACAAATGGTAAATAATAACAATATCACAAGAACACAACAAGAATATTGGTTAGCAAATGAGATGTTAATATACTTTAAGGCAAAATAACGGGTATCACTGATCACTTTAAATATTGGCAAAGAAAAACTACACTAGTGGTTCCCAAGCCTTTCTTGGTCGCGGTTCCTTTCTTTTCAATAAACATTTTTACACGGCGCCCTAACCTAAGTAAAAGTATGACTATTCGTGTCATGGTTCAAATTAACGATGAAGCTTTTACAATATTTCGCGGCGCCCCTGTGAACAGGTCGCAGCTCTCGGGGGGTGTCGCAGTGCATAGTTTAGGAATCATTAGATTACACAGTATCACATTCATAATAGTTTGAAATTTAATGTACTGAACTTTATAATCTCTACTCCTACAATTCTTAACAATTGGTACATAGGCTATGAAATATTAAATAACCAAAAATAACTGATAAGCATGAAAATTCATTATTGAAAGAAAGAAAAAAAAAATGCTGGTATATCCCAATTATAACCTGGATGGGTTGAACATGATATTGTTGTTAAAATTATTACTTTTAGTAAATCAGAGAACCGATCAGTTGGCAAGAGAAGGTGTGACAAAAGAGCAGCTGGGTGTACCAGTTACATACCACTAAAAGAGAGGAATCATTAAATCGACGAGGAAACCACCAGCTCCAGCAATGAAAAACTATTTTATTCTGGTAAGATCAGAACAAGTCATTATTATCCGCCTCATAACAGGGCACAACCGATTACAAAACCACATGCTAGCAGAATTCAAGATAGGCGTATCAGCTATGTGTACTTGATTTGGTACTAACACCCCCTCCCCCACCCCCACATATTTCGGCAGCTCTTCTGTAATCCCTGATTAGATCCTCCATTATATTCCTTAGCCACAAAGGACAAGAGGCAGCAACAGTCTTTGTCGCCCTTACGGGAGCCCTAATTTCTTCCCTCCGTGGGTTACCGGGCTCCATTATGTGTTTAGAAAAAAAAAAAAAAGGGGGGGGGGTCGGTAGAACTACTGCTCCCAACATTCATGTCGTTAAAAAAAGTCAGAGTGTAACTGTCTGGGAGGCGAGGAGCCAACATAAAAAGTTACTGAACAACACCAAAATCCAGAAGCGGACGAACAACCGAACTTTCCGACGGAGTATACAGCCGGTGAACTCAAAAAAGAAGAAGATAAGAGAAAGAAAATGAAGAATAAGAAAAAAGAAAGTAGAAACATAAGAAGAAGAACTATAACTTCTTTGCAAGTTTAACAGTGAATCAATCTGGAGTCTGTCTGTCTGTCTGTCTGTCTGTCTGTCTGTCTGTCTGTCTGTCTGTCTGTCTGTCTGTCTGTCTGTCTGTCTGTCTGTCTGTCTGTCTGTCTGTCTGTCTGTCTGTCTGTCTGTCTGTCTGTCTGTCTGTCTGTCTGTCTGTCTGTCTGTCTGTCTGTCTGCCTGCCTGCCTGTCTGTCTGCCTGCCTGCCTGCCTGCCTGCCTGTCTGTCTGTCTGTCTGTCTGTCTGTCTGTCTGTCTGTCTGTCTGTCTGTCTGTCTGTCTGTCTGTCTGTCTGTCTGTCTGTCTGCCTGCCTGCCTGCCTGCCTGCCTGCCTGCCTGCCTGCCTGCCTGCCTGCCTGTCTGTCTGTCTGTCTGTCTGTCTGTCTGTCTGTCTGTCTGTCTGTCTGTCTGTCTGTCTGTCTGTCTGTCTGTCTGTCGAAGACACAGACAGTCAGTCTGTCTTTATTCCCCCATCCACCTGCCGTGTTGATGTTTATTGTTCTAGCCTTTTAGTTTCTCCAGCGGCTCGATACCCCCCACCTATTTGGCTGTGTTCCTAAACTTGATTTCAACTAAATCTCCAAGGATCATCTTTCTAAATAATTACCCATGAAACCTACAGACTGTTTTGTGCGGACTACGAGTCGGTAATTCCCATTTCTTCTAAATTTAATAAGAAAAGAAATCTACAACAATTGTTTGTTTTATGCCATTTTTCCTACTACGGAGTCATAGGAACGTGTCTACATAACGTGAACAAATATCATTTGCCAACTAGTCTAAATTAACTCAGCACTGACTGGCAGGCGAATAGTTGAAATAATACTTTTCGAACTACTCCAGAACAGTTAAAATTACGTCGGAAGAAAAATACAATTCGAAAAGAACTGTGAATGTCTGACTGACTGTATGTGGGAAAAGGTCATGAGTTCTTCTTTTTCTCCTTCTTCGCGTTCACCAGCTGTAATGTAAACTGGCGGAAATTTCTGGTTGATCATCCACTTCTGGACTGCAGTCCTGTTCGAGAACCTGAGTGTTGCGTGTGCACCCGTTTAATAGATCTGACTCATTTGTATGCAGACTGCTGGTTCCTTGCCTCTCAGGTAGATGCAGTTCGATTTTGAAGGAAGTTTACAATTAGTCGACTTTTACGACATGCTTTTGGGTCTATTCTTGTTTTCCCTATAACAGGGCCCCCGGATCCCACACGGGGAGTATATTTTTTTGAAAAATGGCACACTATTATTACTTTTAATATTACAATTATTATTATAATTGTTTTTATTCTTACCATTAGCATTAATACTAAAAAGATATGTAAGAAGCTGTGTGCCAGCCATCACCGCCACTGGCTGTCCCAAACCCAAATGTAAAAGAAGAGGGATTGAGTGTGGAGCTAGTTGGCACCCCCCCCCCCCTCCCGATAGGGTGCCATTTCGGTACGGATAGGTTTATAAAATGGAATGGGGGGGGGGGGGAGGGTATAGATTGCTAACCCCACGTAATATCTGGTACAACAGGACAATGATGATAATGTGCGCAGATAAATTTTCTTTGTTTCGGTGCACTTGATCACGTAACAAGATCTCGCATGTGATAGAGGAACCTTATGGAACCCACTCACCTGTGATAGAGGAACTTCATGAACTGACTCTCCTATCATAGAGGAACTTTATAAACGAGCTCACCTGTGAAAGAGGAACCTTATGAGCGCACTCACCTGTAATAGAGGAACTTCATGAACAGACTCACCTGTCATTAAGAAACTTCATGAGCGGACTCACTTGTGATATAGGAACTTCATGAGCGAGCTCATCTGTGATAGAGGAACCTCATGAACGGACTCACCTGTGATAGAGGAACCTCATGAACGGACTCACCTGTGATAGAGGAACTTTATGAACGCACTCACCTGTGATAGAGAAACTTCATGAACGGGGATCGCAGCAACTGTCCGATTCTGGATCGCGGGAAGATGAGATAATACACCGACATAAAAGGCAGGATCAAAATGAGGCCAGTACAGATCAAGAACTTCATGACGCCATTGCGCTTCCTCCAGCCCGGCAGACCCTCGTACCAGATGGAGGTCAGTAGTTGTTGGCAGTGTGGGTGGGAAACAAACTGCGGACAGGCAACAGACAACATGAAATGATCGTTCCCGTGTGTGGGTTCCGGACTCCACGTGTGTGGCTGTGTATGTGATTGTGGTGGTGGGGGGGGGGTGGGGGGGGGGGGGGTTGGAGGCAGGTGGCAAAAATAATCCACTGTCACCCTAACCTATATGTCGTATCTTCTTCTTCTTCTTCTTCTTCTTCTTCTTCTTCATCTTCTTCTTCTTCTTCTTCTTCTTCTTCTTCTTCTTTCCGTCTTCTTCTTCTTTCCGTCTTCTTCTTCTTTCCGTCTTCTTCTTCTTTCCGTCTTCTTCTTCTTTCCGTCTTCTTCTTCTTTCCGTCTTCTTCTTCTTCTTCTCCTCCTCTTTTTCTTCTTCTTCTTTTCCTCATTGTCCCATTTGTCCCTCTCGTGCATCATTTATTATTACAACTATAATGACTAATACTGCTAAGTCGCTAACACTGTCAGCTCTACTACTTCTCTTTCACATCCCACTACTACTACCACCAGAACTATCATCACCACCACCACTACCACCACAGACAATACTAAAACTGCTGCTACCACTACTGCAACTAGCACTACTGCTTCTATCACCACTACTGCTACTACCACCATCACCACCACTTTTACTACAACTACTTCTTCTCTACTTCTCCTACTACCAACACTACCATTACTTTCCTTTACACCACTATTACTACTATCAGCACTACTACTACTACTACTACTACTACTACTACTACTACTACTACTACTACTACTACTACTACTACTACTACTACTACTACTAACGCTATCATCACCAGTTCTATACTACTAGCACTACTACTAAAAATACTGCTATTACCACCATCATCACAGCTATTACTGCAACTACTACTACTACTACTTCTACTACTACTATTACTACTACTACTACTACTACTACTACTACTACTACTACTACTACTACTACTATTACTACTACTACTACGACTATTAATACTACTACTACCACCACAAACACCACTATCCCTGCTAATGCTACAACTTCGACTACAGCTACTAATACCATTACTATTACTACCACCACTAACCCACCGCCACTACTACTATTTCCCCACCACTACGAGTACTACCATCATCACTAGTACTACTACACCACTACTACTGTTACTACAACCACCACCACAACAACAACTACTGCTACAACTGCAGCTACTACAACAACTACTACACTTTCTTCTTCCTTCCCTCCTTTCCTTATCCTATCTATCATTTCGCATTGAAATGTCAACCCTGATTGAATCCACTTAAATCCATTTGCACACAAGTGTTTGGATTCGCCAGTGACAGTTTTGAACACTATAAAGCAGTGTTTTCTTTTCTGACGGTACGCTTTGGCACACGTATAGTAAACCGAACACCGTGTATTACGCACTCTGGGTGTGACACGTCCGGCCACTTTTCTACCGACACCCATAAATACCCACCAGGTAACTTTTCTCCCTGGTCGTTTGTGAAGTCGGCCATGCTAGATCACACAGTGACTATTCCTTCTTTGCTTCCCGACTGAACCCTGAAAACACGAGCGCCATCTGGTGTTGTCTGGCAGTGATTTTTCTTCTTTCTCTAGGATCATTTTTGGAGCGGAGAGCAGCACACCTAGTTCTGCATTGCTCCTTGACGTCGAGGTCAGTGTGTCCAGCCTCGGTATGCAGACAGAGGTGGTGAGTTTACCTGGTGGGGTCGGATTTAACATGTGGGAACCAACGTTGCGGCTTCCTCTTTGTTAAAACATTAAAAGTTACAGGGAAGAGGATTGACTTGATTGCACAGCACGTTTAATCCCATGCGGCTCTATCCGCAGAACGATTTGGCGCTTTAGCAGATGGTCGCACAAAACACGAACGCCGTCTCTTCGGTGACAATCTATTGTTCACTCGTGAATCGCATGACACAACCTGAGTAATAATAGGTGGGGGATGCATGATGTATCCTTCTTCTTTGTCCACCGGCTGTAAGCTCCAGCAGAAAGTTCTCGTTCTCTATCTATTTTGACTTTGTGTATGACGCTGTTTGAGTCCTACACAATAAAGATCGCAAATATAGACAACAGCTACGAGGAGCTGAAACCTCCTGAACGCTATCGAATTATTCAATTTAGTTCTACAGAGAGAGAGAGAGAGAGAGAGAGAGAGAGAGAGAGAGAGAGGGATAAGAGAGAGAGAGAGGGAGGGAATAAGAGAGAGAGAGAAACAAAGAGAGAGAGGGAGGGGAGAGAGAGGGGGGAAATAAGAGAGAGAGAGAGAGGGGGAATAAGAGAAAGAGAGGGAATACGAAAGAGAGAGAGAGGGAATAAGAGAAAAAGAGATGGAATAAGAGAGAGAGACAGAGAGAGGGGGAATATGAGAGAGAGAGGGAATAAGAGAGAGACATAGAGCGAGAGAGAGAGAGGGAATAAGAGAGGCAGAGAGAGAGAGAGAATAAGAGAGAGACAGAGAGAGAAGTTTGCTCTCCTACGAAATACGCCTGGCCAAATCAGATCAAAAGGAGCTGAAACCAAGGAGAAAACATCAGAAATGAAAGTGCCAGAAGAACACAGTTGACAACAGGATAGGGAATGAATGGTCTGACTTGGAGGAAAGAAGCATTAAGCCCACAGACAGCGCAATTACCAGAACTTTAGCCACGAAAGTGGCGCAAATAAACAAGACCACAAATATAGCCGGAGACTGTTGGCAGCTTCGGCTAGCTAGCAGCAGATTGAACGTGGTTATTTTTAATTTTTTCTTAAAAGGAATTAGAATTATAATTTATTTCTTGTCGCTCTGTATCCAATATAGAAAGAAGCAAGGCATTTATCTCACTTGTAATCATGTACATTATACATATTTCTAGATAACTTGCTGCAACATGGAGCGACTTAAAATCTCTGCGATATGGAAATCGATAAGTGTTAGAGGTAAGTATATGCCTGCTAAACTGTGTAGACACTGTCAGTAACTCTGTCGGAGACGCTTTTTATGTTTGTCGATCCAGGTGTGGCTGGGTCGTGAAGACCTTGTTATCTGGGACACGTGACTCTCTCACACACACTCTTTCTCTGTATATATAAATATATATATATATTCATATATATATATAATATATATATATATATATATATAAGATATAATAATACATAGAGAGAGAGATAGAAAGAGTGTGTGTGAGAGAGATATATATATATATAATATATATATAGATTTATATATAATATATATATATATATATAGATATATATATATGAAGATAATATATATAATTTGAGTTAGCGCGCATCTGTGTGGATCTACGTATGGCTATGTCAGCACCCTGGTTCTTGAAATTTGACACAGAGAAGTGTACGAAGAAAATGGTTTGTGTAGAGATAGAGAGTGGCAAGAATTTGGAGTGTATGCGAGTGTGCAGAGGCATACAGGGCCGTCTTAAAGCACGGGCCTTCTGTACACTTACCAGGGGTGGGGTGCGCTTGAGTATAGCAGCCCCAAGCTAAATTATAGTAAGTAACATGCCATAAATAAACAAGTCATTCCTGTCGTTAGGGGACGCAGCATTATAATTTGTCTAGGGCTCCATAATGATGTATGCTGTTAAAACTGCTCTGAAAATGGTGGGGGGGGGGGCAGCAATGTGTGGTGTAATACAGTAATGGGTGTGAAATACGAGCTAAATAAACAGACCGCAGGACAGATCAACACAGACACAAAGCGGAAAAGACAAAGATGAGCAGATGGACAAAAACAAAGACGGGATAACTTATTGATAATAAGATAGGCTGATGGCTGATTGACAAACAGACAACAGTAAAAAGTCAGTGAGACTGTTAGAAACAAAAAGAAAAAGAAAAAAAGAACGAATGTACAGACTTAGTGACTGACTGATGGAAAAATAGACACACTGGCCTATCGATGTACGTATAGAAGATATATGACAGACAGACAGACAGACAGACAGACAGACAGACAGAAAGAAGAGAAAGAACAGAAGAAGACAGAGCAGACAGAAATGACAGACAGACAGACAGACAGACAGACAGACAGAAAAGAACGTTGAATAGACAGAAAGACAGAAGAGAAGACAGAAAGACAGACAGAAAAAAGGAGAGACAAACGGAAAGAAGAGACAAACAGAGAAGAAAGATTAGAAAGACAAACAAGCAGACCACACACAGACGAAAGGACGGATAGATGGAAGGACGGAAAAGAAGACGAACGGATGGAATGGATGGACGTACGAACAGAAAGAAGACAAGACAGACACGATTAGAAGAAGAGATTAGAGAAAGAAGAAGACAGAAAGAAGAAGACAGAAAGAAGAAGAAGAAGAAAGAAAAAGAAGAAAGACAGAAAGAAAGACAGACAGAAAAAAGAAGAAAAAAAAAAGAAGAGAAGAAAGAAAAAGAAAGAAAGACAACAGACAGAAGAAAAAAGAGACTCAAAAAAAAAAAGCAACAGTATTTTAAAGGTAGAATTTAGTATCCACATTAGTAGAATGAAACATAAGTGGGAAGAAGGAGATAAAGATTTAAAAAACAATCACTACCAACAACCTACAATAGTCTCTGCAAGTGAACTGCTCGCCTGACCTCAGCTAATCGTGCCGCTTAATTCCCAGCGACACTGTCGGTTATTCCTGGACACGCCCTTAAGACACACAGTAAGATGTACGAACGAGGAACTTACAGTGAAACATTAGTCCTTGATTGATTCTTGACGATAGGAAAGTAGGTAGGTAGGTAGTAGGCTAGAAACATAGAACGATGAGACAGACTCTCAGACACACTGAGGGGGGCAGGGAGGGAGAGGGACGGGCGGACAGACAGACAGAGAGAGAGATCCCCGTCTGAGACCGGAGAAGGAAACGACTAGACCCACTACCAAACCAACAAGCATATTATAAAAGTCGACGGATCAGGGGTGCTTCATTCGAAGTCAGGGAGCATCTACCGGAGGGGCGATGATGATTACCATGAATGAGAAATAGAAAAGGGAGAAGATGATGAAGATGTTAAAGAAGATAGTGATGATGATGATGATGGTGATAATAATTATGATAAGGATAAGATGATGGTGAGGATGATAATGGTGAGTAAGAAGAAGAAGCAGAAAAGAAAAAGAAGAAGAGGAAGAAGAAGAAGAAGAGAAGAAGAAGAAGAAGAAGAAGAAGAAGAAGAAGAAGAAGAAGAAGAAGAAGAAGAAGAAGAAGAAGAAGAAGAAGAAGAAGAAGAAGAAGAAGAAGAAGAAGAAGAAAATAAGAAGAAGACACGAGAAGAGGAAAGAGGAGGAAGAAAGAGAAAAGAAGAAAGAGAAGAAGGAAGAATAGAAAGAGACGAAGAAGAAGCAGAAGAAGAAAAGAAGAAGAAGAAAGAAGAAGAAGAAGAAGAAGAAGAAGAAGAAGAAGAAGAAGAAGAAGAAGAAGAAGAAGAAGAAGAAGAAGAGGAGAAGAAGAAGAAAAGCAGAAGAAGAAGAAGAAAGGAAAGGAAGAAGAAGAAGAAGAAGAAGAAGAAGAAGAAGAAGAAAAAGAAGAAGAAAAAGGAGAAGAAGAATGAAAACAGAGGAAAACTTTTTTTAAACTAATAAAATGCATCTACTTTCGTTTTCCGCACGTTCTTCTTCTTCTTTTCTTCTTCTTCTTCTTCTTCTTCTTCTTTTTCTTCTTTTTTTTTCTCTTCTTCTTCTTTCTTTTCTTCTTCTTCTTCTTCTTCTTCTTCTTCTTCTTCTTCTTCTTCTTCTTTTTTCTTTCTTCTTCTTCTTCTTCTTCTTCTTCTTCTTCTTCTTCTTCTTCTTCTTCTTCTTCTTCTTCTTCTTCTTCTTCTTCTTCTTCTTCTTCTTCTTCTTCTTCTTCTTCTTCTTCTTCTTCTTCTTCTTCTTCTGTGAAGGTTAATACAAATGAGTTGCACATTCAGGCCTGGCAGAACGCAGCTACTTATCATTACTGTAATGTAGTTTCTCCCTAATACAGCACTGCTGATTCCCGCGACCAGATGGCGTGCAGGGTAACTACAGCCAGTTCTCTGCTATTGATTTATCTGCTGACTTCTAATCGGATCTGGCAGTCTGGCATGTCCATGTCAACAGGCTAGGATGGCACAGGCAATACCAAGTCTCTGATTTGAGAAACAGGTAAAAAATCGGTCTGTGATTGAAAACAGTAATAAATACATTGTGTACGGCCGCGTGTCAAATAAATAGTAACAGTGCACTAGGGGCGTACCTAAAATATCTGACGCTCTCGAGAGGGGGTCAGAAAATGTGTGTAGTCTGCATTTACTATTGCTAACAAGTAAGTAGACTTTACCCCACCAGGACATCACACAGGGGCGATAAACACCGGGTGACACAAAGTGCCACCATGCGAATGAGGATCACCCGTGAAGAGGTCCCAGAAAGCCCATTTAAACTCTAAATTGTATTAGGGCCCCCGGCAACAGCAAGGATAGGGCTTTAAAATTAACGAAAATTGCATCCCACAATGGGGTAACCTAAATGTAATTAGTTATTGCTCAGTTTTGCGGCTACTTATAGAGACTATTAAGTGCTTAATTAGGAAGTATGTTTAATCTCATTGCAACTGAAATTGGAAGCGTAGAAAAATATGCTTTGGTGTATACTGTTATCAACCAACCGTATGCTTTATCACTCAGTCGTTGAGGTAGCTGGCTGGTTTAATTGCCTGCCGCGTCGACAAACATGTATTTAACTTCTAATATCACAGTACCCGTTCAAATGACGATTAGACCCGCTTTAATGCTCCACACCACATTTTACACACATACCCAACCGACGTGACTAACCCGTTCTTATTTCAGGAAGACAACTATATGACCACTATGGTCACACGCGTCATATTTTCACATTTCGGGACTATCCAAAAGACGATGTGTACGAAAGCTCGTTCTCCTACGATATACGCTTGGCCAAATCAACGGGAGACAAAACAAACAGGATACACTAAGAAAGAAGAGGAAAGACATGCACAAGTAAAAACAGGATGGAGGACGAGCGGTCTGAATCGGATGGAAGCGTCAATAAATGGCACACATACTCGAATTTAGTCACGAAAATAACCCAGACCACAAACATAGGCGGAGACTGTTAGCAGCCTCGGCTAGCTAGCAGCAGTCTGAAAGTGGTCGACCTTTTAATGTTTTTTTTCTTTAAAGGACTTGGACTAGTACCCGTTGCATGGTCACCATTTTCGTCTTGTCCCAGTCCGAGAACATCCGGTAAAGTGCAGCAGTAGAAGATTAAGGCATGGGAGTCATGAACCAGGTCAGCCCAACCTCTAAAGTTGTCTAGGAAGTAATGGGCTGAAACAATTGTCGACGAGGGATCTTTTACTGATGATCGATAGACTCCTGCTGTACATGCTCCCCTGTGGAGTTCTTCTTTCTATATTATAAGATACTGTTAAAATGTGTAACTTGCGCAGTAGAAAATGATAAATGGAAGCATGTACCGGGTAGTTTTACAGATATTATGACTTTGTCTGGCCACAAAACAACTTTCTTTTTTAAATGTTAGAGGGGCTCGTTAGGGGTGAATGTTAATCTGTAGGATGGCGCCCTTATAACCTTCTAAAACATAATGAAATTCACTGTGGTTTCTTCAGATACGACATTGCTACTTTAACCCTGAATAACACAGACACTATACCAGGTAGAGAAAAAGAATTGGAATTTGGGGAGGGACCTGGGGGTGGGGGGGGGGGCGGTTGATAACAGCAGCAGCAGTATTAAAAGATTCTTTTCCACACTTTCCGGCGCATGCGTTAGAAAGTCGTGTGATGCAATTTTTCGTTATTCTGAAGCCCCACTCTGGCTCTTGACAGAAGACGCAAAAAAGCCCTGTCATAAATATCCCCTAATGGCTGAAGGCAGTTTCTGGGACCTCTCCAAGGGTGATCCTCATCCACATAGTGGCACTTTGTGTCATCGGGTGTTTATCGCTTGTGTGATGTCCTAGTGGGGTAAAACGTGCTACTACTACTACTACTATTACTACTACTACTACTACTACTACTACTACTACTACTACTACTACTACTACTACTACTACTACTACTACTACTACTACTACTACTACTACAACTACTACTACTCTTCGGCGCATTGGACATACAGTGCTTGACTTATATTTGGCTATATTTTACAGACACTATTCCAGCTAGAGAAAAAGAATTGGAATTAGGGGAGGGGCGGGGGAGGGGGGGGGTTGATAACATCAGCAGCAGTATTAAAAGATCCTTTTTCACACTTTCCAGCGCATGCGTTACAAAGTAACTTTAAAAAACAGAAATTCACTTGGTATCCGTTCAAGGCTAGGACTACCTGGGAATCAATCTCATATTTTTAGAAGGAAAAAAAAATATCCGGCTCCATTCGGATCTGAACGCAGTAGCATCAACCACCGCCAACTCTAGAGCGGGAATCCCCGTTGACCCAGTTGGCCTATTTATAGCTAAAGATGGCCGTGCAACAACGTTAACCGTGACAGCAAGAACAAGGATGTAATAATGAAATAAAGATCTCTGACCTGTTTCTGTTCGTATTTGATTGCCAGCTTCAGTCGACACAGGGTCAGCTTGTTCGAGTCCCAGGAAGTCGAATCCTCTTCCTCGTCCTCCTCGTCGGAGTCTTCCTCACAAGTTTTGTTCAGCACAGCAATCACCTCATCGCTACTCCGGCATTGCTCCAGCAGTTCACAGGCGTACTTCTTGCACTGCACACTCAACTAAGAGATGGAGGTAATAAGCAAACATTGTTAGCTTAGGCTCGTGAACATCCTCCCTCCTTTCCAGACGATACTGTTCTTGCCAACGCTTTGCTGTCAGTGTCAGATATGGACACTGTCTTCTGAAGACAGAAGGAAAATGGTCACTACAAAAATAGAATGTTTAAGTACTATGCTAGGTGTAACCAGGAAAGATCGACTTAGGAACTATGATATCAGGCGGAGAGTCGGTGTAGAACCAATACTAAACTCTATAGGTAGACAACAAATCAAATGGTTTTGGCCATGTAACAAGATTGGCATCAGACAGGGTACCACAGAGAGCAGTGTTATACAGATACAACGGTAGCAGAGCCAGAGGTTGACCACGCAGAAAATGGACCGCAGAAATACCAGAGACACTGAAAAGTACTTTATACGAAGCGAACAGAGCTTTTCCTGCCATGATGCCGCGAGGCATTCCAGTAGTAGAGAAAAACAGCGTATTGGGCATATAGGGCTAGCCCAGAGGCGTCACGTGTATGTAACGGCTGTAATCGCCTTGCAGTGGTTTCGACAGTGGTATCCAGAGCCGACTGTTCAGGGAGAATGGCAAACTACTAAACGTAACATTTGCCTAAAAAACCCACAACAGCGAAAAAAAAATGCCGGGGTTGCTTCTGCAACGTCCTGTAAAGCAGAAGTTCTCAAAAAGATTTTTGCCGCGGCACCCTTGTCAGCCTAAATTTTATCCCATATGGCCCAGCCTCTTTCAGAACAGCTAGCTGCCTGCCCAGAGCGTCGCGCAGAGAATGACATCCGTAGCTCCGGCGACAATCCCCAGGGGTCTCCGTAAAAATTGCACTCGTGAATTTAATGGTGGCACCGTGAAATGAACATACCACCTTCACGGCGTGAGGCAAACAGCTTGACCACTTCGGCACGAAGACACCCACCACCCCCCCCTTTTCCTCTCCCCCCAGGTCAATGGCCTCTTCCCACCAGGCCGAGGAAAACTTCAGAATCGATTGACGTTATTTGATATGTACAGTAAAT